CCAATTTTCCAGGAAACAATCAAAATGTGAGAGGATGAATTTTCCTTAATTTTATTTGAAAAAGTCAATTTTCCAGAATTTTCCCTAGAGTGATTTCTCACTGAAAAATTTCGAAATTTTCCTATAATGAGCTCCTCACTTTCCTCTTTTTCTTGGAAAATTTTCAAAATTTTCCCTCTGCGAGTTTTCCAGAAAAAAATTAAAATGTAAGAGGTGAATTTTTCTTAATTTTGCTTAATTAAGTCAATTTTTCAGAATTTTTTATGGAGTGATTTTTCATTTAAAAATTTTAAAATTTTTGCAATAATTTCTGTAATTTTCATAGTTTTTCGTAATGTCCATAATTCTCGTAAATTTTCGTTATTCACGTAATTTTTCATAATTTCCATTTTTCGTAAATTCTGTAATTTTCTGTAATATTGAGAAAATTTCCGTAATTTACAAATAATTCCTGTAATTTTGAATAATTTTGAGTAATTCCTGCATTTTTGGAATAATTCCTGCAATTCCTCTATTTTTTTGTAATTTCCGTTATTTTTCGTAATTTCTGTAATATTCGAATAATTTCCCTAATTTCAGAATGTTTTTTGAAATTTTGAATTACGTATATAATTCCTATAGTTTTGAATTGATAATTTAAAAAATATAAGAATTGCAAAAATTTCGGAAAATTTTACGAAAATTACAAAAATTTAAATTAGCAGAAATTACAAAAATTTCAAAACTACAAAAAGTTACTAGATTTTTAAAAAATTATGAGAATTATAAAAATTAAAAGAATTAAAATTACGAAAATAATTTATTAAAGAATTACAAAAATTGAAAAATATTAGAAACTACGAAAAAATCAAAAAATTACCGAATTTGCGAAGATTCCTCAAAAAATTACGAAAATCACAAAAATTAGGAAAATTATAAAAATTCCATTAAAAAATTAAGGAAAATACAGGAATACGGAAAATATAGAATCAATAAAAATAAATTGAAAAATTATAGAAATTTCAAAAATTACAGGGATCGCAAAAAAATGAAAAAAATCGGAAAAATTGCAAAAATCACGGGAATTTTGAAAAATCACGGAAAATACATTAATTATTGAAAAACTAAGAGGAAAATTAAAAAATTATGAAAAAATCGGGTATTACAAAAGCAATGAAAATAAAAAAAATTGAAAAATACTGGAAATTCAAAAATTATGTAAAATTACAAAAATAATTGAAAAATTACATAAAATACGGAAACTACAAAAAAATAACAAAAATCATTAAAATTGCAAATATCATGAAAATTTGAAAAAATTCCAGCCCTTACAATTATTGAAAAATTAAAATGAGAATTGCAAAATTACGAAAAAAACCGGGAATGGAAATACTTATGTAATGTAAATTATTTTAAAAATTACGGGAATTTCAAAAACTACGTGAAATTGAAAAAATCATTGGCAAATTACGGAAATTACGAAAAAATTACAAAAATCACGAGGATTACAAAAATCACGGGAATTTCAAAAATTATTAAAATTTCGAAAACATTGGAAAATAACGTATAACGGAAAAGTAACAAAAATTACGAGAATTGCAAAAATTACGGAAAATTTAAAAAGTTACGGAAACCACCATTATTAAAAACTAAAAAGGAGAATTATAAAATTTGAGCAATGGAAATTATTGGCAATTTCAAATATTAGAATTGCAAAAAATTATTGGAAATTACGTTTTACGAAAAAATAATAAAAATCACGAGAATTTCAAAAATAACGGGAATTTCAAAAACTTACGGGAATTATCATTATTGAAAAATCAAATAAAGAAATTACGGGAATTAAAAAAATAACAGAAATCACGAAAAAATTAGGACAATTAGAATAATTATAGGAATTGCAAAAATTACGGAAATTACGAAAAATTGAAAAAAAAGAAAAATATCGGAAATAACACAAAAATTAAGGAATTTGTTAATTAACGAAAATTACGGGAATTGCAAAAATTGTAGAAATTATGAAAAATAATTAAATTTTTAAAAAATTATGAAAATTAGAAAAGTTACAAAAGTTACGAAAATTCTGGAAATAAATCACGGAAATTTATTAACGAATTGCAAAAATCGAAAAAACCTATGATGATTTTCAAAAAGTTAGAAAATAACAAGAATTACAAGAATCAGGAATTACAATTACAAAAATTATAAAGACCGGGAAATTATAAAATTTCAAAAAACGTCCAAGAAATTTAAAAAAGTACGACAATTGAAAATTGATTTGAAAATTACGAAAACTATCAAAGTTACGAGAATTATAAAAAATTACGGGGATTACGAAAAAGTTACGGGAATTACGAGAATTAGAAAATACAAAGGCTTCCGGGAAATTATTTTGAAAAATGCCCAGAAAAAATACGGAAATTACGGGAATTACCTACTAATTTTTGAAATATACAAAAACGTGGAATTATAAAAATAACGGAATTTTCTGAGAAACTACGGGAATTAAAAAAATAACGAAAATTTGAAGAACAAACGGAATTAATAAAAAAATTATAAGAATTATTTGAGAAATGACAGGAATTAAAAAAATTCTAAAGAAAAATTACGAGTCTTCGAAAATTACAAAATTTGCTATAATGAGCTCTTTATTTTCTTCTTTTTCTGGAAAATTTTCACAATTTTCTTGCCAGTTTCCCCAAAAAAAATCAAAATATAAGAGGGTGAATTTTGCTTAAAAAAGTCAATTTCCCAGAATTTTTCCTGGAGTGATTTTTGACTGGAAAATTTTGAAATTTTTCTATAATGTGCTCCTCACTTTTCTTTTTCTTCTGGAAACATTTCACATTTTTCCATTTGCCAGATTTCTAGAAAAAAATTAAAATGTAAGAGGATGAATTCTCCTTAATTTTGCTGAAAAGTAAGTTTTTCAAAATTTTCGTAAAATGAGCCTCTCATTTTCCTCTTATTCCTGGAAAATTTCCAAAATTTTCTCTTTGCAAGTTTTGCAGAAAAAAATTAAAATGTAAGAGGGTGAATTTTTTTTAATTACTTAAATAAGTCAATTTTTTAGAACATATTTGAGATTTCGGTCGTAAAAAAAAGAATCACCCTTTGTCGTTTATACATGATATTTAAGAACACCCTGTATAATACGCAGTTAATTAATTTATATATTTGGGACTCCAATGATTTTTTAAGAGCCGGTATTTCAATGTCACGTCACCTTCAGATATAGAATAAAGATAGACATTGATAACATTGCCTGACCTTGTTCGATGACGTCATTCTAAATATAACATAAAAACCCTATACTTTAGGGTAATATTGTAATACCGGCCCCGGTTGAAAATTTTTATTCCATAATAATAATGATTGCGAACGTGCTCTATGAATTAATCAACGACAAATACTTTTTTCTAAATTATGACGTCATCAATGACGTAAGTAAGTACACAAAGTGCAAAAAAAAAATACATAAAATAATTTGGTTGCACTAATTTTTTATATAAGTGTTAGGTAGTGCTATGGTGGGATGCCGAATAGGAGTGCTAATTTTTGCTTTAGGGGTGCTTAGCACCCCCAAGCACCCCCCTAGTTGCGCCTATGCTATATTGTTTGTCTGAGCACTACAGACTTCTTAATTCACATTAGAATATTCTAGTGTTGTTTCTAAACTTGGATCTTTCAGAATCTTCGATTTGACTTCATAAACCCCCAAATCCAGAAGTTTTTTGCTTTGTAGCTTCTCTAAAGTGTTGGTTTGACCCTTACAGACTCCCAAATTTAGCGCTTTTTTTTCTTTGTAGCTCCTGTAAAATGGTAATCTGACCCTCACAAATTCCCAAATCTAAATTAGGAAGTTTCAGTGATGTTTCCAATCCATCTACCAAATTTAGAGATTCTTCTCTTTGTTTGTAGCTCTTCTACAGTGTTGATCTGACTCTTATAGATACAATAGTCTGGGGAGCAGACAAACGGAGCTTCGAAAGATGCCGAATTCGATAATTTAAATAAAAACAATTCTATTTAGTGCAGAAAACCAAGCTCGGATAAAACGATCATTATTAAAATACATGTTTAAATATGTATTTATTATTTTTGTTTATTACCGCTTATGTTACAGGATTATTTCTGAGATAAATCTGTGAGTCGGGATTATTTCTGGAGTTATGGAAAAAAAACTTGTATTTAAATTTTGATCCTTCAAAGCTTCCGTAGTTTCTATATATTACCTCTTTTCGATGAAACTGCTGAATACAAAATATATAGGAACAGTAGGTAACGGTATATTTTATAGAAAGGGTTCAATCAATGTTATTGGTAGGTATATGTATTTTCATTATAATGCAAAATTGTTGCATACAACACTCATTCTAGTCATTTTTAAATAATATTTTGTCCAAAAATTATTGAAATATATACCTTACTTATAGTCTAGGAGGCAGTGAAGATTTTCGGCACTTATTTTCCCAGTCAGACAACATGGATAAAATTTTAGGATTAGTAATTCTAAGCAAAATTCATATATTTTTATTTTCAGTTTTTTATTCAAAATCCCTATAGATATTTAATTTTTCCCTGATTGTATCAGGCAGTGTTTACATTTTTCCTTTATAAAAATTCAACAATATTACAGTAGTTGCAGATCCTGTGATTATTGTTGAATTTTTATAAAGAAAAATGTAAACAAAGCTTAATAAAATCAGGGAAAAATTAAATATCTATAGGGATTTTGAACGGAAAACTGAAAATAAGTGTGAAATAGTTAAAGACAATTTTAGCACGTTACAACTCCCCCTCCCATCCCAGCGAAGAGACACTAAGTGGTATTTTTATAATACAGATTATGGCCTATTATTTGAATTTTTTCAATACTCCTCACAAAAACTATCAACAATAGTATCATAAACATTCTTTCTGGCATCATTGGCCACTAAATAATCCAAATGATTCCAAAGTATATCGTTGACTTCTTTTTTTACTGAGGTGGGTATTTCATTAGCCACCCTTTCAAAGTCCTACAACAGAAAATCAAATAATAATAATAAATTTAAAATAAACAAGCTCACTTTTGCTCCTGCCAAACAATCGTTTCGGCCAAACCATATCAATAAATGAGTTTTAATACTGCTCAAATTGTAGGCTGGGGGATGGAATTGGCCATAGATATGCAAGTTTCTCAAACCATAGTCGAAATGCTGGAAGCAGTTTGCTTTTGCCAATTGAAGATAGTGAATCAAGGATTTAAAAGAGCCTCCTGCTGGAGAGTTTGATAAGATTCTAGTTATCATTGACTAAAAATAATTGTATTGATAATGGTATTTGATTTTGAAAAAGGTATTACTACTTACAGCGTTCAATTGAGTAGGATTGTTACCACAAATACCGAAAGCATTTATGCATAATTCGATTATTGGAGAGGTTTCGTGGCAAAGTAAGACTCCTATTTCTGTATACAAGGGATTATAAGTGAAAACTCCTCTGTTAAGTTGCAATGCTTTGCCTAGAAACTAGAAAAAATTCAATAAACTTTTAGGTATTTCAGATTAAATGTGTAACTTACCCAAATTTCGCTTACAAACTGTTTCAATAAAGGTATTAAAATCAGGGTGGCATGTTCCAAAAAAACAATGGGAGCCAATAAATTGCCAGATATTATTTTGTCTTGGTATTCTGGCAAAACGCATAATAGAGCCAAGAGGGAGGTAGAACCTTGAGAGTGCGTTATAATATGCATCTTCACATGTCCTGTAAGTTTCGTTATCATGTCCATATTAGCTGAAATATCGTATATTCCGATTTCGTGAAAACTGAAATAAAAATCCATAAGATATATTTTGTAATATGGACTAAGCTTTAGGACAAACATATTACCTAAAATCCCAATATTCTACAGAATCTGAACTCAAATATTCATGTCCCATACTATAAGTAGAACCACGATTAGCCATTAAAAATACATCGATTCCTTTATTGGCCAACATCAGGACCACTGAGCTATCACCTGGAATTATTCAATTATTATTCCGTTAATAATGCCTTTATTTTACCTTGTAAGAAATAATCTTGAGGACTACTGAAAATACCATGGACAATTAAAACAGCCCCTTTGCACGTAGAATTTTTACCAAATATTCTGACTGTGTTTATGATGTATTTGTCTTTTGTTGTGATAGAGATGTTTTGGTAGTTGTATTTGTGTTTGGCAAAAAATTGAAACTGAAAATACCTGTATCTAAGAAAAATAATTTTTCATAGTTAATACTCACTAAATTTAATCCAGTGTCTGGATGAACCCGAAAATCTTGACACTTGATTTCAACAAAACATAAAATCAGGACTAGAATTACTTTGCTCGACATTGCAAAGATGCCCTTTGAAATTTTTTTTTTTGTCTCAAGCATTTCAATTTAAAAGATAAAAAAAAAAGTACAAATATTTTTAGAATTAGCGTATATTGTTTTAGTATTGCCATTGTTTTTCAATGTTAAACAATAACAAAATCTTAATTCTCCAGCTAAAGCATCTTTCTAATGATTTATTTTACATGAAAATTAATTCAAATTAATCAAAATCGATTTTGGTGGAACTTTATTACATATGATATAATGCTGTGGTTTCATAGTATTTGTAGAAAAGAGTCATCTTTTTTATTATCCAAAGGGATTTTTCGTGTGATCCAATCTCAACGAAATCATAGTTTACTTATTTGAAACTTCTTCTATTTGAAAGTTTGATTCAAAGTTTGCTTTTAATTAGCGACTCCTTGGGTAATTAGTAGTTGCATGTTTGCGGTTTTGCCAAAGGGGCTTTTTGATTTCCTAACTTTGGAAATAGTTTGAGCATGGTATTTTTATTTTCTTAGTTTTGTGTAATGTAAAGAATGTTGGTTGTTGATGAGTGAGTAAAGTCTGGAAACATGTGATTTCTAGAAAAACTAGAGTTTGGTAGGTATTTGATTGGTTACTTTTTTAAATGGAACAGGAGAAAAGGCAAAACAATATAATACTTATGGGACTCAGAAATAACAGTGCTGAGTTAAAAAACAAACCTGAAGAAGTAAAAGAAAAATCGCGTAAGGTATCGAGCTATATTGATCCCACTTTAAATTTTGAAAATGTGGAGAGTGAATGTCGAGAAGGAAAATGAGTTTTTAACAAAAAATGAGTTTTTAACAAAAAACAAAAAACAAAAAGGCTTCATAAACAGCACAAATTGTAATCTACCAGGGTCGCATTCTATATACGTCAATGAAGATATGTCCAAAGAACAAAGAGAACTACTCAAAAGAGCCCGCAGTCTGAGAGGCCAAGGATTCAAGTTTGTATGGTCCAAGGGAGGCAACATTTACGTAAGAAAAACGGAAACTTGTAATATTATAAAACAAATTTGTAGTGAGGATATTGACAAACTTGAACAGCAGGATTAGTTTTTCCACCATCAGCTTCTCTGTAAGTAATGTAAAAATGTCCAATTTAATTTTGATCTTTTTCCTTCGTGGATCCCACACAACACAGTACTTAAGTTCCTATGTAGAAAATGATACTCTTGTTTGTGATAATATAATGGATGCCGTATGCTTTAAAAGTAACTGTGATGGAAATCTAAAAATAATACATATAAATATGCGTAGCTTGAACAGGAACTTTGACAACTTCCTTACCTACCTCGAAGCATTGCGGGTTGACTTTGATCTTATAGCTACGTCAAAAACCAACGAAATAAAAAATATAAACCAATTTAAATTGAAAATATATTATTGTGCTTTCTACAACGAAAGTAAAATAAACAAATGCGATGGTACTGTGATTTTTGTGAAGTCCAATCTTCTAGTAGAATCTCAAACACTAACTGTTAATGATTCTAGGTTTCTTAGAGTCACCTTCATTAAGAATGGAGTAAATTTTGGTTTAACTGCTCACTACAGATCTCCGTCACTATCTCCAGATCAATACATAAATGATCTTAATGACTTATTGCAAAAAAAAATTGTTCAAGAAATCGACGGTTGAGATTTTCACAGGAGATACCAATATTAATATTCTAGATACAAAGTTGTTGAATATATCAATACTTTTGCTTCACATGGTTTTGTCAGCAAAATAAATAAACCTACAAAAAATTCTAAAACTTGTATTGATCATTTCTTGATAAGGGAGAATAAAACATGTAAAAACAACGTTAGAAAAATTTATTCAGTCATCTTAAATAATGATTTCAGTGATCATTTGCCAATATTGTTGAATCTTGAATTTTCCAAAATTCTGCCAAGTGCTAATACTTACCACAAATAAATTTTTCAGTAAATTTGATAGTGATAAATTTACACAACTGCTGTCTTCTAAAGATCGGGAGCATACTCTGCGGCACACTGATCCTGACAAAATTGCAGAAAGTATCGTAAACAAAATAAAATTTTATATTAAAAAAAGCACCAACAAAATAAAAGTTAAATGTAAAAAAACAATTTGTCAGGCCCTGGATGTCGCAGGGGCTCCTTAATTCAGTAAGGGAAAGAGACAGCCTTAAAAAAATATCCATATGTAATCCTGGAAGCGAACTGGCCTTAAATAAATATAGGGAATATCGAAACAAACTTATCTACCAAGCTCATAGGCAAAACCAAAACACATTACTATAAAACCCTTTTGGATAAGCATACTAATGACCCTAAAAAAATGTGGAATGTTAATCAATGGCCAATATACTCAATAAATACTTCAGCTCAGTAGGGAAAAACCTTACGAAAAAGATAAATAAACCAGAAGAAAACAGGGAGATTGAAGATATCTGCGAGAATTCTATGTATCTTGCACTCATAACAGAGAGGGAAATCTTAAAAGAAATAACCGGCCTTAAAAAACAATACTGCATGTGGGAAAGATGAGGTATATGCAGAAATGATCAAAAATCACAAAGAAAAACTAACTAAGCCACTAATGCACGTGATAAATACCATTTTTTTACTACTAACCTGAGAAGTAGTCATTATTCAACCTATTTTTCACAGAAAAAATTGAATTTCTCTCCCTAGGTTAATAATGAAAATAATGAAAAAATACCTAGGTCAATAATGAAAATGACGTCATGACGCAAGGATATTGTCATAACGTTACAGGTTTCTATTGTTTTAATTTCAATTTCAAACTGTCAATTTGAAAAAAAAACAGGTTCCTGTATGTATCATAGGAAATTACCATAAGCTATTGATAGAGGGCGGCACTTCCGACAAGAAAAAATAATTTGAGTACAGATTTCAAACCTATTTTTTATTTTCTACTATAGTAGTAGTAAAAAAAATTCTGTATATTCCTCGGTAGAGAAAGTCATTATACAGGGTGTCCCACGGTGGATGGCGTATTAGACGTTTATAGAGAACTAAAAAGCGGATCATTTTGAAAATTTGACAACCGGGATAAACGACCATAATCTACACTTTAAAAATATTTTTGTTTATGCAGTGTTGCCGCTTCTACTCTAAACCAGTGGCAACATCGCTATTTTAAACGAAACACCCTGTATGTGATTGCATATTTGGATTCTACGTAAAATTCTGAGCAGATTTTATTTGATATACCCTATACCTATGACAGTTGAAAATTGACTTTTTGCAACTTTGACAGGCTGTAAAACCTAAACGGTTAATTTCAGAGAAACTATCATTTGACACCAACTTTGAATTTAAGCGGAAATTAAATTTAATTGGAATTTTTAATCATGGATTAAATTCAAAATTGGTGTCAAATGATAGTTTATAAAAATCTAAGATAGGAATGTAAAATCGGTTTTTCTCTAAAATTAACCGTTGAGGTTTTACAGCCTGTCAAAGTTGCAAAAAGTCAATTTTCAACTGTCAATATTTCCAAAACAGTTGAACTTAGGTATAGGGTATATCACATGAAATCTGCTCAGAATTTTATGTAGAATCCAAATATGCAATTAAATACGGGGTGTTTCATTTAAAATAGCGATGTTGCCACTGGTTTAGAGTAGAAGCGGCAACACTGCATAAACAAAAATATTTTTAAAGTGTAGATCACGGTCATTTATCCCGGTTGCCAAATTTTCAAAATGATCCGCTTTTTAGTTCTCCATAAACGTCTAATACGCCATCCACCGTGGGACACCCTGTATACCTTACGCATTATAAAGCTCGGTATATAATGAACAACTTCTCTACCTAGGTATATAATGTACTATTGCCAAACAGGAACATTTTCCTCAATTTTTAGAAGTGCTGTTATAATACCTGTTTTTAAGGCTGGAGACAGGTTAAACGTTAGCAATTACCGACCTATAGCTTTAACTAGTGTCTTGGCTAGGCTTGTTGAAAGGTGCATTAAGGAGAGATTGTGGAGCTACCTTGAAATATAGTACATTATATACCTAGGTAGAGAAGTTGGTCATTATATACCGAGCGCTTTTATAAACTGAGGCGCGAAGCGCCGAGGTTTATAATGCGTAAGGCCTGCAATACGAACCTGTTACGTTATGACAATATCCTTGCGTCATGACGTCATTGTCATTATTGACCTAGGTATTTTTTCATTATTTTTATTATTAACCCAGGGAGAGAAATTCAATTTTTTCCCAGAAAAATTGATGGAATAATGACTACTTCTCAGGTTAGTAGTAAAAAAACTACTTAACGCACTGGTGCGTGACATTTTATGTCTTCTAAAAGGTGCGTAACGTAAGTACTTTACGCGCGGTAATGGAAAAAAACAATTATTGCGCCTTCACTTACAGTCGGGAATAAGATGTTGTACCCATACTTATACAGGGTGGTCCATTTAACTTGAGACATTTCAATATCTCGAAAATGGCGCGTTTTTGAAAAAAAAAAGTTCAATAATGTCTTAAGTTCAATGGCCCACCCTGTATACGATACCTATTGTATATCGTGTGCGGAAACTTAAAATTACCAAATTTTCATTGAATATGAAAATTT